CCTCTTCTTCACAACTGTCCACTTATGAGTACTTTGGGAGCTAAAAATAACTGAGGACTTGGAGAAGAAAGATAAAATAAGAGAAGGGAACCAAACAGATTTGGCAATGCCAGGCACAGTAGTCCCTGCACTCAAGAGGCTGAGGCAACTTGGAGAGACTCTCAAACTTAAAAATCAAAAGGTGCTGCCAGCGATGTGGCTCTGTGTTAAAGCGCTTGTCTAGAATGTACAAAGCCTTGTGTTCCATCCTTAGTACCTAGAAGAGAAAGCTTCAGGAAGGATTCAAGGCTCACCTGGGTAGGGCTTGAGGCACCTCAGCTCCATCTCAACCCTGCTCGCCAAGGCTCGCATCTTCCATTGCTGCCTCAACTGCAGTTCCCCAGAGCTGCTTGTGTCACTTATAAGTGCAGTTCTTTCAACTACATCTTCTGTTCAGCCAGTAGGATGACCATTCTAAAGCAGCCCTCCCAGAAGTCCCTGGTAAAAGCAGAACTAGTGCAAAATAAAAATGTGGTGCCCTTTGCTGAGAACTCATTATGGATTTCAAGATGGCAAAGTGGAATAAACCATGCTGTCCTGTGTGATAGCAGATTGTAGGCCTAAAAAGCCAGAGCTGGCTTAGCAACCCCTATGAGTTGAAAGTTGATTTTCTGTTGAAAACATGGATGCATTTAAAACTCCTGTTAGCCAGTGTGGTGATTACAAGTCTGTAATCCCAGCACTCTGGGAGGCTAAGGCAGGAGGATCACAAGTTCAAGCCCAGACTGGGCAACTTAGTGAGGCCATCTCAAATTTAAAAAGTGAAAAAGGGTTGGGGATGTATCTTAGTGCAGAGGCCCTGGGTTTATTCCCTAGTGAGTGTATGCATGCCCACATACACGAAAATGGTCTTTATGAAATATTTTGGGCTGGGGTTGTAGTAGCTCAGTGCTAAGGCTCTGGGTTCATTCCCTAGTGTGTGTGTGTGTGTGTGTGTGTGTGTGTGTGTGTGTGTGTGCGCACACACACACACACACACACAAATGCTCTTTATCACTTCCATTTGCCTCTATGCACTATAGTCATTTTATTTGATCACACAGCTTTCTTTTCAGACTGCAAGCTTCTGAATCAAGTCTCATTCATCTTTGAATTATTGTAGCTGGGATGCTGGTTGGTCGGTTAGCTAAGTAAATGGCAGAAGGGAAAAGTAGATACACTAGAGATGGGAATAGTCTACAGTGATAGGATCCTTTTAGTGCCCAAGTGCCCAAATGGCAACCCCAACCCACTTGTTTATTGCCCAATGTCAACACTGCAATTAAACCTGAATACTGAGGTTTTGGTTTAAGGAAAACAACTGTTATCTGATGGTCGCCTGCAGAGGCAACTTGGCTGAGCACTGACAGGCCTCTGCATGCCCTCTGTGGCTTGTGTGTCAGAGGTTCACCACCACTGGTGTAGTAGAGCCTTTTAAAGTGCAAAGGCAAATAATTAATGAAAATAAGGACCTTGTGTGTCTGGACCACCACCCCAACCCTAATCCCCCACCAACCCTCCCAGTTCACCGTCAATCCCAGGTACCTTTGGGTGGCTCAGAAGTTTGTAAATGAAAGAAAAGTTAGCAAGAAGCAAAGGTTTCAGTAGTCATGGCTATGTCTCATGTTTTTCTGTAGCCTGCCCCAAAACGTCAGTTGGTGTGGTCTGTGCGCTTCCCAGAGCCTGTGCTAAGAATCACTAGAGCCTCCTAAAGCCCCTGGCTTGCCACTGGCTCATTTAGTCCCCATGCCTTGGCCATATGGGTCCAGCATCCCATTCTTTCAGGACATTTCAGGTGCTTCCATGACTCGCTAAGTTCATAGCCATGAATTCTTGTGACAAATCACAGGAACTAAGGTATTTCATACCAGGGGATGAAATTTTGATCACTGAGCAACAGCAACCAAGAGAGTCCCAGTGACGGTTGTACTGTACACTGTGGCTGGGTTCCAAGTCCCCATTTACCTCCTCACTGATCTATGCAGGGCCAGCACTCAAAGGGACACATTTCCTTGGAAACAGTAGCCTTTCAAAAATGGGCTGTAAGCCTCCTGATCTTATTAAACCCATTTATGAGAGAGGCTTTGTTGTGGGGCGTTCTGGAGATAATATCGTTTTATTAGAATACAGGTCCCCTTTTTTTAGGGTATGGGATTCATGACTTGGCTGGAAAGGGTCAGTATGTGTTCAGTGAGCTTTTTAATCCTTCAAGGCAGACTGATGCTGAAAGCCTCTCAAGAGCATTCAGAATTAAAGCACAAGTCCAGACTCCTGCCTTGCCCGGCCCTGTTTGCTTCACAATGGATAAGACATGGGTGCCAGCAGGAGCCTTGCAGTAGAAGAGTGAAACACTCATTTTCTATTTCTTGTCATCTCTCTCAGTATAAAACCCAGGGAGCTGTAGATAACCTGCCTCTGGTTAATGGTGGCCCTGTCTTAAAAAGGAGCCTTGCTTTCTGTATGGAATTTGAGACCACCATCCCTTCATTTGATTAAAACTGATGTTGAATATTCCTTGGGTAATTTCTCTGTATGCACAGTCTTTTGGCCTGGATCGCCAAGGTAACCTCATTTGGTCCTCTTCCATGGGCCAAGTACACACAGATATGGGAGTGTTACCAATCCTTTCAAAAGCCAGTTTGAGCTACTATCGAGCTTTGAGAGGATTATGATAATGGGACTTTCAGCTCTGATCAGATAAGGGCTTTAATTTAGAGACGGAGCGGTTCGCTTGGCAGTAAGTGCAGCTAGAGAGCACAGGGACTGCTTTTGTTCTAAAAGTGATACAGTTCAAATTAAATTTTGCTCAAATAGGTACAGAACTGAAAACTTTGGCTTCATTTATACTTTCAAGCAAAGAGATCTGTTTTAGCCATATATCATTTTCATGATGTTTTACCATATTTAAGTACTACCTGAAATACTTTTTATATTTTTCTTTAAATGTATTTACTGCTATATATTAGTGAATTAATTTTTCTGCCATAAATAGAAAGCTCTTATTACCTGTACTTAATTGGAAGAAATAAACACAATGAAAACAAAACTTAACAACTTGTAGCTAGCTACCACTGCTTAGCAAAGGTTCTGAGCCCAAGGCTTGGCTTCATGTGGGAGATTGACCTGGGATGAAGACACCTACCACCAAGTTGCAATTTCTACTCTGGGAAAAGATGGCTGGAAGAAAGCAAACTTTTCTTCACTTAATTACTTTAGGGTTTTTTATTCCAAGTTGTTCTGAGCCCACTTTTGAAAAACACTGCCTTTAGAAAATCCATTCCATTTGTATTCTGGGAGAGGAAGTGGCTGAAATTATGTGAAACCCCTTTTCTAAATGGATTAATACTCCCCAAAGGAGGCAGACATTTTCCCTAAATTTAAGAAATGTGTGTTGGAATAAACTGACCGTAGGAAACAAGACATGGTAAATACATACAAGCAAGAATGCCAGAAATAGCCAAGTACATACCTATCCAACTATCAGCTGCAGAGGAAAAATAGGTTTGTCTGTTCTGTACACTGGTTCTAGCCCTAGCATTAGAAGAGCATCAACACAGTAGGCTCACAGTAGGCAGTCAACAAGTATCTGTTAAGGTAGGTTATGTGAATTACATTTCCACTGCCCCACCCTTGGCAGAACCCTAAAGATCATCGCTGGGAAATGGGTTGACACAATTGGAGAGTTTATGGGAAGATCTAGAGAGAAGGGTAGGGAGAGAGCCCAAGCACAGTGGTTCAGATAAAACCTCACCAAGGTCCAGGCCTTTGGGTGGCTTCCAAATGCACACTAGCCCCCACTGTTAATAAACTCTCTTTTTTCAGACCTGGTCCTGATTACCTTCTGATTAACCAAAAGCATCATGCACTTGATTCATTTACATCATGCAAAATGAGCTGATGTCTGCACAGAGCATCTTTTATAGAAGCAACAGCTTTTCTTTCTGTACCTACGGGGGTTCCTTTCTAAGAAACCCGGTTTCATGTAAGGAGACTATTTGTGGACTTCATTATTTTCTCAGTAACTAAGGACACCTAGAAACTTTCACTAGTCAGAGTTCCCCATTAATTCACCATCTGTTTGCTGCTATAGTATTATAGTAGCAGTATTACAATAATTTGGTAATTATTACCAAATTCCTAAGAATTCGGTAATAAGAATAAACAGGAGAGGCAAATCAGTTACAAAAGCAGAGTAGCTGGCTGGAACCAAAGCTTTCCTGGAGCTTTGAGCCCACTGCAGCATTACAGAAGCAGCCAGCCCCGACCTCCAGTGTTTCGTTCACCTGCCTGGACTTCGAGGGTGAGAGTCTGAGGGCAGGAAGAAGGTGCCGGAGCTGTGGCGGCACAGGCTTGGGGAAGTTTCCAATTTCAGGAATAGCATGCCCTGACTTAATCTGTGCATTTCCCATATGGGCCAAAGCAACAGTAAATCGTTAGCTCTATTATACCTGCTGAGTATTTCAGGAAGTTTTTTACCTTCTCATACAAAAGCTAAACTTTAATTTACTGAACCTCAAACCTACTTTCATTTTTTAAACTGAACTTCAACTTTGACGATGCTTTTCTTTTTCTTTTCCTTATTTTATTTGTTTATTTTTTTGAGATAAGGTAGTGCTATGTAGTCCATGCTGGCTTTGAAGTCACCATATAGCCCAGGCTGGCCCTAAACTCAGTGATCCTCCTGCTTCAGCCTCCCAAAGGCTGCCATTACTGGTGTGTGGCACACTCCCGGTATATTTTGCTCATTTTAAAAAATCATATCCAGTGAGGCACTAATGAGAACTAGAGTTCCATGATTTACAAAATTAGCACTTCAAACAAAACACTTCTAAAATCAAACTTCAAAGTAAAGATGCTTTGCCCCTCTGCCTCTTTGGAGCTGCATCTTCTCTCTGGGAGGGGGTGTGCCTAGATGCCCACCCAGTGGCCACAGAGACACAGCTCTCAGTCTGTGAACTAATGAAATTATGTTTTCCTTTCAGGTCCAGTACTTCTTCAAGATCTTGGATAATTAGCAGGACAGAAAGTAAAGAAGTCACAGACTGGGGCAGTTAGACAAGAATGAATCATGGACATGAGGAATGTGTTCATTCTTTTATTGTCCATTGTTTTAACCTGACTGATACAAGATCAACAAGAGCACTGTACTCCTGGCAATTATTACATATGTTAGAACATGGATTTGCACTATAGACGACATTTAACACCAGTCTATGGGGTACTGCATTGCTTTTATAAAGTTCAAAATAAAGATTTATTTTCAAACAAGTGACTTTGGTTTATTTCATACATTACACTTTTTCTTGCAGAAAAAAATAAAATTGTACAACTGCATAAATATAAAATTCTTCCACCATGAAAATGGTTAAAACATTCAATAAAGACACAGCACCAGCATGTGATGCCTCCAGAGAAAGGAAAAAAGGAAAAGAAAATGTACAGAGCAAACTAACCAGCCCTGTCACTAACCAAAGTGACAGGCGGAGCCAGATCTCAGACACAGCTTTAGAACACACTGGAGGACCAGGGAGGAGATGTCAAGACAGCATTCGGTACAAAGCACAACACAACCCATCACCTTTTTTGTGTTTTTCTGTAGTGTCACTTAAAATTTAAAGGGCAGTTCCCCCATGACAACCCACCCCACCCCCCAAGCCCCAGGGAGAAAAAAAATAAAGTAATACCTAACATACAGGGGAAGACTATGGAGTGTGTTAAAATTGCTCATTGATGGGCCATTACTTTTGAAAGAGCCAAACAGAAGAGGAAAAAAAAAAAGGAAAAAAAAGTACCATGCCAGTTTTATTCCCAGTGAATATTTACACCTTGGACAGCAAACCTTGCTCACATACAGTAGAAAACAGATATGATAAAACATGGCTTGAAAAATGACCGGAGTATGCACCTATTGTACTGTACACTAAATAAAATACACAAGGCAGCAATACTTAGGGGCCAGAAACACTGCTTACTACAAGTCAGTTATTATGGAATCATAATTTACAGTAAAAATGGGCACGTCCCAAGGCTCAATTTTTATTTTTTTCTTTTGTCATTTACAGTAGAATAAATATTTTGTTGCTATTGCTACACTTTAAATTTACATTCTAACCTATTAAATGCAGAAAGCTAGTGTAAAGCATATAGATTAAGTGTAGGTCCCATACGTATGACAGTTTGTTCAAGACTAGTAGGTTTTGTTTTTGTAATTTTTAACTTATTAAATGGCTAGAGGGGAGGATTTGTGCTTGTGATCAGCTCTTAACTTCAATTTTTACATCAAAGCGTCCCTGAAAACGGTCTTTCTCACTGTAACCAATGTTCTCACCGTACGCCTTACACTCAATACGAACTTCAGTGTCGTAGGTGAGGTTGCTGAACTGTACGGCCAGCAGAGGCTGCAGATACTTGGGCTGCAGGAGTTTACCATAGTAAGGATAATACTGCAGAGGAAACCCGGAGTATCCGCCCAGTCCAAAGTATTCCACAATTCCAACTTTATCCTTATCTTCTTCTCGCTAAAACCAAGAGTGAAATGCAGTGTTAATGGTACACATACATACCAGGCACAACCTCAGGTAGCAGCTGGCAGGCTACTTCTGGAGGAGCAAAAGCCATCCAGGTATGCCTCACTCAGCTTGCTCTCAGAGTAGGGGACAAAGTGCTGGAAGACATTGGTAGGACCGGATGCCGCAGGAAGAACGCACACCCAGCCTAGTCGCACCAGTCTTGAGAAATGGTCACAGAAAGAAGCTATTTTCACTGTGCAAACAGGGACACTGAGGCAAAAGCAAATGAGCATTTCTTTAAGCCAACAATAGCCTCCCTCTGAAGCAAGGCAACAGTGGAAGAATGCTCAGGCTGAGTGGGCACAACCAGTGTCGGCGCTACCATCTCCAAATGTTTACCTATTTGCCTATCATGTCTTACATAGTTTCTTTTTTGATGTCAGCCTAAAATGGCATTGGGGATTCGCTTTAATTCTGCCTTTTCTCTCTAAACAACTGTCATCAGCTGTCTGCTTTTAGATCTAGGCTGAAAACATCTTATTACTTTAAACCTTCCAACATTTTTTAAAAGAAAGCCATGTCAATATTTTTCATGACTTCATCAAAACAAAAAAAAAGCTGGCCCCAATTTACTAACAAATGTTATAGGCAGGTGCAAGCATTTTTATGGGTTAGTTCACCTCTCAGTTCTCTTCCAATAGACTGAATTCAGATATTTGCATTTCTTACACCAACAGAGAAACTGACAAACAATTTTATTCTGGCTGCATCTTTCTGTCCTTTGAAGAAGTTCCACCCAGTAGAGTTAGAGCTTAACTTTCTGAGATTCATATCCAAGAGTGACATTTCTGTTTGCTATATTAAAACTGTACTCCATCTTAAAACACCAGCATCCACTCAGCTTCCCACCCCTCAGTAATCCTAGAGTGTCCTTACCTTGCCAGTGCACTGAACGGGCAGAACATACGGGTTGTACTTCATACCGTAAACATCTGTTTCCAAAGTCTCATTCTTGGGAGGCTACAGATAAAGCATACTTCGGTCAGTAAAACATACAGCCTTTTTTTAAAGAAAAACATATGGATCGCAAAATAATAAAACACATCAGGACAGCAAAATGAGTGACCCCCTTAGCCAAGCTAGGGAAATCCATTGGTGAGTGTGTTGAAGGAAAGTGAGTGCCTTGGTTTTGTGAGCATGGCTAAGCTGTGGTACAGCGTAGCACTCTGTGGAGCTTGTCATGGGAACCCACAATGCGTCCTTACTCAAGGACAATGAGAAATAAGAGACTCTTCCAATCATAATGCTCCTTGCTTGCTAAGATCATGATAACGGCAAAGCTGACTGATACTTGGGCTTTCCTCCTAAGCCAGGGGTACAAAATGCCCTTCTTTTTCCTCTGCAAGGGGGCTTTCATTCTCATTTTTCATCTCCAGGGACAGGGAGGGGGACTGCTACCATCTAAGGAGCATTTCTTTCTGTCAGAAAAGTATAAGTAGAACAGCTTAAAGACAGCATTGCTTGAAAGAAAAGATGAGTCCATTAAAGGATCCAGAGAACAGGCTGAAAATGAACTGCTGTCATGAAATATTCACAGCTGTCCCTCAGACATCCTTGGCTAAATCTACCACAGAAGAAGTGGTGGAGGACAGCCACTGGCTCATGTCAACATGACATGTGCAGAGTCTGGACCGCAGATGTAATATACACCGGACCTGAGTCTGATAAATGGACAGTTCTTCACTCTCTCAGTAAAGAATTTGTATTTTGGTGTACTACTCTTTACTCTGGAAAATAAGAAAAATGATTATCTACAGTTGACTCTTTTGGAAGGGAAAATGCTTAGTGATCAAGGAAGTCACCAGGATTTGCCCCAAGATGACACAGGCACACCAAGTGGAATGCTAGGGCACATGCCATTGCCAAAAGGCAAGATCTGAATGGGAGTGACGAATTAGATAGAAGTAGTGATCCATGACCAAATGGCATCTAATTGCAATAGAAAGAAAAAAAGAAGAATTCATCACTTAATAGAATACCTAGGTGTGGGAAGAGGCTTTGTGAGGTGCAAACATCCCCAAATGTCTATGATAAGAAACATCAAAGGCAAAGGACTCCGGAGGGCAGAGATTAGCTTAGGATCTTGCACTTGCCAGGTAAGTGTTTATGCTGCTGAGCTATCTCCCCAGCCCTCATGAACATTTGGATACAAGTTTTATCAAACTAACTGACTCACCAAGTTTTTTGTTTTGTTTTGTTTTGTTTTGTTTTAATGTATTTGGTATAGGGTCTCACTGCACAGCTTGGACTCTTAGTGATCCTCCTGTTTTCAGCCTCCCAAGCACTGGGATTATAGGCTGAACCACCATGCCCACCATGCCTGGAGGCAGGGCTGCCACAGCATGTGGTACCTGGGGATCGAACACCCATCTCTGAGCTTGCCTAAGCAGGTGCTTAGTCCACTGAGATTCCTTGCCAGCCCTACCAATTTCTTACACTGTTTATAATCAATATTTAACACAAATAGAGGAAAGTGTTTTACTTAAAGGCTTTGAAAAGTTCCATCCTTCACAAATAATCAAGGCTGAGGCAACCAAAATTGCATTTTTATTATGGACAAAAAAAATTCAACTCCTAAGCCATAATGCTGAGAAGAAGTAGAATATTTTTCTTCAGAATTTCATGAATAGGCACATGAAGCCTTAGGACAGAATGACTACTTCTATTCTCACTCTAGCACATTAATACCAGTGTATTTCTGGCAGCTATTATATTACAAATAAAGTATACTTTCACTATCAAAAAAAATAAAAAAAGAAATTGGCTTGTTTGTGTAACTCGATACACTGCAGAAAATCCCTATGAGAACTAACAACAGCAGTGCTGGCCCCACAACCCCAGGCACTCAGTGCCAGCCACCAAAACTGGGCATGGTGGCGCACGCCTATAATCCCAGTGCTGGGGACACTGCGACAGGAGGACCACTACAAGCCTAAGCTGCATAGCAAGACCCTTTACCAAATAAATAAATAAAATACTACTCCTAACACTCACGTTGAGGTTAAATATGCTGGCAGAAGCCACGCGTAAACAAAAAACATAATCGGAGGACATGATCTGGAGAGAAGCCACCACCTTTGTAAAAGCAGAGAAAGCTCCAATACTTTTTTCTTCCCTTAAAAAAATTAATTTATTCTCACAAAATGGTGAGCAGTTGCCACTTGAACTTCCCAGTGATCTAGGGTAATGTTTACCATGTTTATGCTGCAAAAAGCCAGCAACATAATTATCAAACCTCGGCCTAGGTGTTCAGTTTATTTTATGCAATAAATTCATCATTCAGAAAAAAAGAACTTTTTCTCAGGTTACCAGATAACAAGAATAATACACCTGCTCAGCTCCAATAGGCCCAAACCCAGAACAGGACTGGACACCCGGGAGATTGTCACTGGAACCCAGCACTGTGCACAAGCTAGGCCAGCCCAATCCAGGAGATATTTAAATTTAAAAATTTTTTCTATTTTTACTTTCAGAGTTTCCATGCTGCAGAAACTGTAACTTAAGTACTAAGCAGAAGTACTAAGTACAGGACCATAGGGCTCCCTCCAAAATTTGACTTCTCTCTCTAACTTTAGAAATTGAGAATCATACCCTACACTCAGAAGTTCAGATCAAACATAAAATCGTTGGCATTATTCTACTGAGTGGGCTTCCAAACTGTCACTTAATACACTTTAAGGTTTCCTCATATTCTCACGTCGGTGAAGTGCTTCATCCGAAGTGTGAGCAGCTCCTCTGAAACCTGTCACTAGAAACACGACTTGCCTTTGGTTTGAAGCCCAGCACTCGGTTGAGCTTTATGATGATGCAGGGTTTGCCATCTCTGTAGCCGTAAGTCTCATCATTTATTCCAGAGCAATTGCCCAGCCAATCAAGCTTGAACCTGCAGACCTTCCGCTCACCCCGTTCATGGTTAAAGTCTCCTCGTTCCTTGTGTTCACTGGGCACAGCTGAAAGGACAAGTGGTATTTTCACATTGTACCGTTACTTCCCTAAGCACCACTGGGAAAAGGGACTGTGTTCCCTGTCATGGCTTTCTATTTTGAAAAAGGATTATGCTCCATGCACAGCACAGGCTAAGAGAACCACAGATTTCCAGCTGCCTCTCATCTCTGGCCCGCAAGTGGAAAGCTCTTTACCAAATGCAATCGCTGAGACACAGCCCCACCTCAGAGCTTCCCAGTACCTGGACCTGGTAATGCACATTTGGTCCCTGACAGTATTCTTCTTCCTCTCAATAATGGATTACTCAGCCACTGAGAAGCCCGAAGGGAAAGTGGATCAACAGCTTCACAGCAGCATCACTTATACAGGTCAGCACCAGCTTCACTCAGTAACAGGGGCATCAAAATTAGAATAAACCAAAAAGACTGTCAATAATTTTTGAAACTGAGAACTTTTTGGTTAGAATCTCCTGGAGTTATGCCCCTAAATGCATGTTAAACAGTAAAAGAGGGAACAGAATTTTTGTTTTTCCAATTTCATTCACAATCCAAAGTTGGTTTTCATAAGGGCCGACCAAATAGCTCAGCATAATAAAGTGTCTGCAAGCAGGCACAGGGACCAGGGGTTCGATCCCAAGCCTGCTGTGCTGACCCCGCCCCCAGGGCATGCTGAAACAGCAATTGAGACTGGGTGTGGTAGCATGTGCCTATAATCCCAACTCTTGGGAGGTTAAACAGGCAAATCACTAAGAGTCCAATCTAGTAGTGAGACCCTGAACACCCTGTCAAACTTTCCCTAAATATATATTTTTTTAAAAAATTTTTAAAAAATCTTTTTATGAGAACATTTGCCTTTGAAAGCACCTAACCAAAAAATATTATTTTAGTATGTTTAATTCATACCTCATATAAAAGTCAGCATTCATAGAACATAAAATTCAAAGTTAAAAAGATTTTGCAGGAAAATGATGCAAGTATTTAAATATCTATTTCAAATAATATTAACATTTATAATTTGTTATAATTATTTTAATATGTATTTCTTAAAGTTTACTATTTTCCCTTCAAATGTTAAGATGCTTCAGTGTAATCCTTTTGAAGTGATTCAACCTTATCTTCTGGGTTTTTAAAGTTACTGCCAAGTAAGATGAAAGACTTGTCTAAATTGTGTAAAAAAAGTTCACAGTGAAAACATTTCCTTGGGTGGGCCAGACAGCTCAGCGGATTAAAGCACCTGCTTAAGCAGATGCAGAGTCCTGGGGTTCAATCCCGGGTTGCCATCCCGGCATGCTGAGAAGGTGATTGAGACTGGGTGTGGTGGCACAGGCCTGTAATCCCAGCCCTTGGGAGGCTGAAAACAGGATGATCACTAGGAGTCCCATCTGTATAGTGAGAACCTGTAGACCCTGTACTAAGTACAAAAAAAAAGAAAACATTTCCTTTAAATTTATGTATCTTTCCACAAGGACTTAAAAATGGCAATTTACCCAAGATTAAAAACAAATGTTAGTCTTCCACATAAAGAACAGCTGGTATCACTTAAATTTCTGAGAAGACTTTTTTGTTTCATAGTTATGAAAAATAAACCTGGGAAATTCATTCCCCAGGTAATGGGAAGCAATGTACTCATGTCTATCACTTAGCAGTATAACCCAGGGCCTCCTCCATGCTAAGCAGGTGCTCTGCCATGGAGCTAGCCCCCAGGTCCACTCTTCATCTTTTATAACCTATCCCCTTACTTATAATGTTCAGCGGCAAACACAGGTCCAAACACGACCTGCATTGTAAAATGTACCCATAACTCCTCATCCATCAGTATCAGCGGGTAGCTAATTACACGAGTCACCATGCTCAGAAAGGGACCTATGCTCCTCCTGGCAGGGAGAGCTTCTGAAACGGGGAAGACTGAGAAATAAGCAGCTGGACTTCTGCATGAGTATTTGAAATAAAACTGTCCCTGTGGTCCTGGGGTCCTAACAGCATCTAGGAGTATTTTAAAAGTTTAATACCATATCTTCTCAATATGGCTAGAGTTCACTCTTTTAAGTTATTTCTGAAATTTTCCTCAAACATTAACATAAATGAAAAGAATTAATGAAAGAGAAACTGGCCACAGGCATCTATGATGAGTCTACTTACTGCCACAATCTTCAAAAATCATGTCATCCTTCTGGGCCGAATCTTTGTACTTGTCCAGGAACCTAATTATGTTCAGCACATAGGCCTCGTAGCTCTTGGGATCAGCAGGACGAAAGGAAATCTCGGTCTTTTGGATCTGAGGAATCTGCGTTAAGCCTAGGCAGAAGCAAAAGTTAGGAAGACACAGAGGAAGTCACTCATGGGACACCAACTGCAATTATTTAATATTAAAAGCATATTTTTCCTGCATAAAACATACATTTTGATAACCCCCTACCTGACCTAAATACATGGGTTAAATGCTTGCCTACGTTAATAAATCACTATGACATTTAGATTGAATAGCTAAGAATGATAATGCCTTGCTATGATACACTATTCAAATTCCTTCCCTCATAGTAGGCATTACTTCTAGTTCATGAATAAAAATGAAGCGCAGGGACCCAGGGAGATAGCGCAGTAGAATAAACACTTGCCTGGCAAGCACAGGATCCTGAGTTCAATCCCCCGTTCCATCAAAAAAAAAAAAAAAAAAAAAAAAAAGAAGAAGAAGCGCAGAAGGTGGAACCCATGTATGCAGTTTCCCAAAGCCTATCATTTTTCTAATACCTTTGTGTGTGCATACATCTTTTAAGAATGTGTTTTCTAGTTAATAATGCATGCAGGTGGCTTTCCCTTGCTAACATGTAACCTGTGAGCACACAGTCCTTGTAGTCTGGGTCAGTGGCTTTATAACCATTCCAAACGCTCTGGATGTTTCTCAAGATACTTCTTTAACTCTTACAACCTCAGTTACACCTTCGAGCCTAAACTAGACAGTCTGCGACACAAGTGCAGTTACCAGTTGAAAAGTCTGAGCGAGTATGTGTGCTATGTGTTTTCACTTTGTAAATCTGAATCTTTAGTACCTAAATGGGTATGTGGATACTACAGAGCAATGTTGTACAGCAATTTGGTGGGAAAGCCTGTCACAACTTTTAGACTGCCAGACAAAATACAAGATGACCTGTGAGACATCAATTTCAATCAATAATAGCTTAATAGGGATGTACTTGTACCACAGAATGTTCATTGTTTATCTGAAATTCAACCAACCATCCTTTTATTCATTGTTTATCTGAAATTTAACCGGACATCCTATTATTTTGATGTGCTACCCCTGGCAACCTGATTCAAATCTGACCACTACGTTGGGCCCAGGTGACTGGCTCATTCTAACTCATTAGTAGCTACAAAATGTGATCTAAAAATATGTTGAGAGCCATAAAGACGGCTCAGTGGTCTAAGTGCTTCCGTAGGCAAACGGAGGGACAGTGGTTCGATCCCTGGCACCAGATCCTCACCAAGCCCCACCAGCCCCACCCTCGAGTACACTACACTGGCCAGTGTCCAGGCATAGTGATCCCAGGTCTGGGGAGGCTAAAACTACAAGTTTTGGCTACAAATCTGAACTGCGTAGTGAGACCCTGTACCAAATACAAAAAATTTAAAATAAATAAATAAAAATATGTTGAGGGGCAAGTGAGAGCGCCAACCTCTCTCACCTTCCCCTCAACATATTTAGCTCAGTCTGCCCAGGCAAGCTTAGGCAAGCTCAGGGACAAGCAATTTGATCCCTGGCACCACATGCCACACCAGCCCCACCCCACCCCCAGGGCAGGCTAACTGGGGACATGGTGGCACATGCCTATAATCCCAGTGCCGGGGAGGCTGAAAGCAGGTGGATCACCTCAAGTCCAAGCTGTGTAGTGAGACCCTACAGCAACCAAATACATTAAATAAGTTGAATATTAAATTTTTTTTAAATTACCATAAAAACATTGCCATTAATTGCCCTTACTTCAAAAACACTTATCCCACTATTCTTGACAATTTCTGAAGCAGTTCTGGAAGTTCTCTTTCATGAATGACTTTAGTTGAGCAGCTAGATGTCCCAAATTGTCTCAAAATGTTTATTATTCATAGTGGTTTTCACTTAGAGAAGAGCCAGAAATCTCACCATTCCAGGTCTGATGGAGGTAAATGAGGATGCGCAGTGATGCTTTTGACTGAAATGGCCATCCACATTTTGAACGGATTCCGGACATAAAGGCAGCCATGAAAAGACACTCAGGAAAAAGGCCTTCCAGACTGCTTCAATAAGTAGCAAAAATGATGGGAACAAGTGTTCAAAATGAGGAGGTATGTTTTATGGGAGATGAATGGCACTTTCACTGTAATGTTTTTTTCTTGAAACACATGTCATAGGGTTTTTGTTTGTTTGAGACAGGGTCTTCCTATGTAGCTCAGGCCAGCCATAAACTCGGTGATCTTCTGCCTCAACCTCCTGAGTGCCCAGAGTGCTGGGATTACAGTGTGGGCCACCATATGCAGCCTTCACATGCCACCCTCCGGGGACCCTGGTGTCCTCCCCTGCCTCCTGTGGGCCAGGACAGCACCTGCAGCGCTCTCGCCCACGGGCTGCCCACAGGAAGCCTCTCAGCCCAAGGCCAGGTCTGCAATCTTCCTCTCCCAGAAGGATGGCAGGCTCTAGCCTACAAGCATGATCTCCAAGCGCTGCTGGTTTAGAACCACTGCTCTCAGAACTTCAATCAAACAGTGGGGAAAATGTAACACAGATATGAAGATGACCATATGAATAAAGGGAATGGGGTAACCAGAGTAACAAGAGTCAGCAGCAGCATTGTGGGGCTTGAGAGCCAGGTTTGGAGATGGACCACATAGCTGTTGCTTTCTAGCGATGGAGGACGCTTTGAGCTTCCATAGTGATTAGATAATAGAGCGAGCTCTCTGAGTAAGCTTTTCCAAGGCCATGGTTCTCCAGAAAAATGGAAGGGACGGGGATGAAGAAAATATATGAGCAGAGAGCTGGGCAGAGGAGCATTCTAGGCAAAGACTTAGGAGTGAGGTCAAGGATCATTTTTAAAAAAAGGGAGGCAGGTGTGGTGGAGCACACCTATAATCCCACACTTAAGAGGCTGAGGCAAGAGGATTGCTGCAAATTTTAGGCCCAGCTAGGATACATAATGAGTTCAAGGCCAGGCTGAACAACAGTGAGAGCCTGTCTCAAAACAAAACAAAAATCATACAAAAATCATCTCAAAAAAGATGAAACAGAATTTGAAGAATGCGGCAGAGATAAGCTCTCAACTGTGATGGAAATTAGGCGAAGGGGAAGTGGCTCATAAAAAAAAAAAGAAAAAAAAACACGCTTCGGTTTAATATAAACAAAGTTCACAAACCCTGAAAAATTGTTCCTATGTTTAGAATGATTTAAATATATCCTGAACAATCTCTGTCTATGTTAGGTTAGAAAACCGGCACTGTGATCATGGGCAGTACAAAGAAGCAATACAGTAAAAATCAGAGCCAGCCAAGCTCCCCTGGAAACAGCTGCTGCCCATAGCAGTGGGACGCAGGCCTACTCCAGGCAGCTGAAGTGGCCACTGGGCATCCTGGCCAGAACTGTGAATAAGACACTTAAGGTGCCCTGTGGACCTGAGGACAGCCCAGCAGAAGGCCCACAGCCAGGGCTGAGAACCCTACAGTGGAGGAGGAATGGAGCCTTGAGTGCAGACCTGCTCAGGAGGCCAGGAAAAGCCAGCGACAGCAGGTGCTCTGCACCTGTCAGGCGGCAGTGGACAGAGAAGCCCTGTACAGGCAGGGCTGAGAAAGAGAAGGGCGGACAGCTAAGGGGTGGGGGGATAAGGAAGGAGATCAAATGTCAGAAACCACAGAGCAGCCCCCCTAGCTGACTGGCAGTGTGGGAGTGACAAGAACAAAAGCTGTGGGCCACAGGCAGAGCCTATGATTAGAAAAACCAAACTACTAAAGAGAACAGAGAACCCAGTGTGAGATATGGAGAGTGACTCAACCAACAGAAAGAGGAAAGCAACCGTAGAAGGTCACACTGAGAGCTCGTGACCAATGGTAATGTGAGTGTTGCGTGTTCCCTGTAGCCGTTTCTGTATGCTCTCTTCAGGGCCCCACTGTGGGGGAAGAGTAATGATGCCACGCATCAGACACTTCCAGGGAGAAAAGGACAACAAAGCTGGGTGCGCTGGTGCATACCTGAAATCCTTGCACTTGGGAGGCTGAGGCAGGAGGAGGCTGAGGGTGTTAAAGAGACCAGCTTGGGCTCCATAGTGAGCTCAAGGTCAACCTGAACTGCACAGTACAATAAGAACTTGTCTCAAAAAGACAGACAGACAGACAGACAAGAGAAAAGAAAAGGAGAACAGGAAGGAGATGGGATTATGGGGTGGGTTTCTGTTCCCTCATGCCAGGGAAGTGCCAAACCTCAGCTCCTCTGGCTCATCAGTGCAGTGCACTTTGCAGGAGCCCAGCAGCTACAGTTAACACCAAGCTCCCTGCCTTTCCTCCCAGTGGCACCTGTCACCCATCACCTGGAATCAGATTTGTGAGCAGGGCCAGGGTTACGCTTACAGGCAGGGCTACCACTGACCCAGATGGGAGGTGTTCAGTGGTCGGCACCCTCCGTCGTGTGTCTCTCGATAAGGCCTGTAAGAAATGAGATCACACCGATTTCTATCCGAAGCCCAAATCCTCCACAGCTCATGACGTAAGCCCAGCCAAGTCAGTATGTCACCATGGCAGTCACAGAGGATACCTGAAGAATCCTGACTTCATTCCACTGACCAGCAAACCCATGACACGAGGCAAATGGACAGTTAAGCATGGAGTCTTCAGCTCCCGTGACCTGCCCAGCAGGTGAGATCCGGGCCAAAGTCTCCCTTGGCCTTGCCATGTGGCAGAGGGTGACCAGAAGTTCAGCTGTGCTAGCTCTGTTCCATAAGCTGATGTCATCCTCTGCAGTCTCTCTGGGGTCTTAAAAGGTGGCCATGTAAGCCTTAGTGGCCACCCTTTATGACATCCAACTTGTGGTCCAAATGTTGTTCCAGAAAGCTATCAATGCTTGGAGTTTAGGCTGCACAACGCGCTCTTCAAACACTCACTAGGGAGCACACACACCTACTGCACACACAGAAGATGGCCACCGCTGAGGACCCCTGCCTCCCTGGTCTGTTCCGCTTTCCTCTCCCCAGACTGAGAAGGTCTCTCCATCTTACATCCATCATCTCTGCCCCAGCCTTTTCTTCACCCAGAGCACAATGGCCTGGGACTTGCCCCTCCTG